ACTAAAATTTCAATTAATCTGAAATTTAGACTATTTATCATAAATGCTACAAATGGATGATTTTGCATCATCTGATTACAAAATCAACTGAATGATGACAAAATTGTTCAAAAGGAATGATAATTTGATCGTTCCTTAAGAACAATATAGAAAATTATTTGAAAGGAATGATAATTTGATTGTTCTTTAAGAACAATATAAAAAATCGTTCGAAAAGAATGATAAAGTATCATTCCAAAAGAACGATAAAAAAACATCATTCTTTTGGAATGATGAAGTATCATTTCAAAAGAATGATAAAAAAAATATTGTTCTTTCAGAATGATAAAGTATCATTCCAAAAAAACGATAAAAAAACATCATTCTTTCGGAATGATAAAATATCGTTCTTTTAGAAATAATTTTTATCGTTTCTTTTGAGAACGAATGTATCTTTCCTTTAGGGACAATTTCTATCATCTCTTTTGGGACGAATGTATCGTTCCTTTTGAGACAATTTCTATCGTCTCTTTAGAAACATTTTAATCTTGATTTAGAAAAGAAATTATGAGAGCTTTATGACTATTTAAGGAATCAAAGAGAAAAAATAAATAAAGAAGAAGCAGTAATTGATAATTTATTATCACATTATGAAGCAGAATCACACTTTAAAGGTTTATTTCCTGATTGGCTAGTAGAAAAGTGTAAAAATAATCATTTTTACTCTACTCAAATATCAGAACTTTCATCATCATCTCCAAGTATCATATTCATAATAGAATCATTTTTATATGATAAATCTACATTACTTTGTATTTCCAAATTATTATTATTATTATTATTATTATTAAATTTGAAGATTTCATATTTATTAATAAGTAATGTGGTTGGTTTTAATTTTTCACTATCAGTAAATTTTTGTAATTTTTTAGTACGAGGATCTAATATAGTAAAGATTAATCCAACCTCTATAGAAACAGTCTAATATTTATTTATTGCTATTTCTAATGCTTTTATAACAAATAATTAATCCATCTGTTTCTATTGATTTGGAAATATCTAATTTCTTTTTTTGACCTTTTTCATCAATTTTAATAATATCAGCTGCTATATTATCAGGAATTTCATCAAATTCTTCTAAAATTTCTCTTTAAATATTTGTTATATTATTATTAGAGAATAAATCTATCAATATATCAGAATTTTCATCATTTTGATTATCTTGATAAAAATCTAACATTTCTTTAATATGATTTTTTAAACTTAAAATCATTGGATATACCAAAGATATAGTAATATAATTAGATCCTCCTAATAATTTGATAACTATTTCAAATTTTTCCAAAATTTTAACCAAATCTTTATCTTTCATTAAATTCCATTCATTTTCATTTAACATAATTCTTTCTAATTTTTTTCCATCACTCTTGTTTTCTTTATTATGATCAGCTTTTAATTTATTTGGTAAATAAATCAAAGCTTTTTTTAATTCTAATAATCTTGTCCAAGAATAATATAAGGAATTCCATCTAGTTGGAACATCTTATAAACTTTAGGATAATTTAAATTTTCTTGTGCTGCTATTAAATGTTCTAATTGTTTAGGTGAACTAAAAAAGTATACTAATCTTTTAACTCTTAAAACAAAAATCTGAATATTTTGATTCATATTTAAAGCTTTTCCTATAACTAATTGTAATGTATGAGAAGCACATGAAATTTTATTAATATCATACTCCTCACCTAATAATCTAATAGCTTTAATCATGCTATCAGCATTATCTGTTGTAATAAAAGATACTTTATGATTTATATTCTAATCATTTATAATATCTTCTAATTTTTCTTTAATAACTTTACCAGTATGTGGATATTCAACATGTTGAAGAGCTAAAAATGCTTCTTACATTATAAATTCATTTAATATCCAATGTGCTATAACTCCAATATATCCATATTGTCCTCTAGATGTCCAAAAATCACAAATTAAACTAATTTTATCTATTTCTTCAAAGAGTTTTTTTAAATTATCTCTTCCTTTATTAAAAAATCCAGTTAAAAAATTATCTAAAAATTCTTCAGTTGGAATCTCAAAAAAAGAATTATAAGCTAAAACAAATTCTTTAAAGCCTTGATTTTCTAAAATATAAAATGGCTGCCCACTTTCAATAATAAATTTTAAACATTTTTTTTTTTAAAAAAAGTTTTTGATCATCACTTATTGGATGAGATTGAATAATATAATCTCTCATATCTTTTTGTCTATGAATTTTAAGCTTATTTAAAATAAAAATATAAATTAATTAAATAAAATCATATTTAATATAATTTAATTTTTAAATAAAAAATATATATTTATTTACCTTTTCTTCTTCTGTAAGATTTAAGGATGGGTCCACAAATAGGCAATTGCGGAATAATTGCGATTTACGATATTGCGGACAATTGCGGAAATTAAGG